AGAACCTTTACCCACCGTTATCCATGGCCTCAGGGCAATTTTGAATTGGTCACATTCTCGTTCTCTCCTTGCCCTGAACGGTAAAAATAAACAAAAAATATCGCCTGAGCCAGGGTTCTTGAAAGGAATAAAACGATCTTTTCAGATGTACTGTGCTTCGCTATTGGTCTATTTGCCAACATGCCTGTGGTACGGTTGTTCTGCCTGTTCACTACGGTAGCTCTGTTCATGGATTTTGTCTACCAGGTGAGGATTGACAGTCCCAGTCACCATTTTTCGCTATAAACGTTATAAATTATGAGATTCTCTGAAGATCCAAATTTAGTTGACGTTTTTCTCCGCTATGATGAGCTTCATCGTTCGTCGACAGATCAATCTTGACGAGAAAGCCAGAGATCGAAAAATTCAGGTGATTTCGGTTTCTGGGGTTCAATTTAGGCCGCTGGATTTGGAGGGTAGTAATTGAAGCATAATGAAACTGAAAGACACCCATAGTGCCAGCCATAGTGGTTAAAAGTCTGTTGAGCTCGATTAATTCACTCAAGGTCATCAATTTCAGGACGGAAACCCGTCGATCACTTCAATAGACGACCATATGAAAGCGAAGCTGGGCGAGACCATGGTGTTCTCGATCATGCTTCCCTCGTTCACATCACCCGTTCGAGAGATTAAGCCCAAAAAGAGTCGTCTTGAGGTCTTCGTCGATTTTCTTCAGACAAAAACCGCTAAAGCACTAGTGATGTTCATCTTCTTCGCTCACGTTGGGGTCAGTATTTTTGTACAGTCATCTGGTTTCTATCAAACACCTGCTTTCATTTCTAGATTTCTAGAACTTCCTTGGCGATACTCTGCTCTTAAAATGATATGATTACATATTGGGTCACCTCTTTATTCTTTTGCTGGTTTAGGTAAGCACTTACCTGGCCACTGAGGTAAGCACCGACTTCAACATGGAGAATCTCTACCTCGAAGGATCGCCTCTGACAGAAATTTCGCGACAAATGCAGGTGGGCTTATGACTCCATACAAAAATGGTTTGATTTTTATTATGTATACAGTTAAAGGGATAAATCAATTTTTTTTAGCATCTTAAACATACAATATTCAGGACTTCGTTCTGAGGGAATCGTTCGTCGTGAGCTTCGCCGTCAGACCGATGCCCGACTTCTCTGATGAAAACATTCGCGAACGATTCAACGAAATGGTCGAGAAACTCGAAACTCTACCGAAATACGGCTGGGGACCTGAAGCGACCGGATTTTGGCTTAGAGATTACAATAGAGTATTTTATCAAAAACTGCTCGAAATATTGAGATACTACAAATCAAGACCATTGTCAACGACGAAATACAGCCAGCCTTCAAAAAATAATGAAATGCTAGGGGAAAACAATTTTAATAGACTGATTTCAGAAAATTCAATTCTGGGAGGAGGAAGAAGATTTCTGGTCACCGGAAGTCCTTCTGGGGGGGTGAAAACTAATCGGACATGGAATGGAATGAGAAAATACGATCCTTTAACCCACACAGTGAGTTTAATTTGAAATGTTTTTTGCTGAAGCCTTCCAGCTTTTCCTCCTTCATTCGTGATTCTCACCTTCTTCTTGACAGTGGACTTTAGTCGATTCTCCCTCCCTATTTCGTTCCTCATTCCTAGCTTGCTCGGTGCTTCCCTCTCTCTTCTCCCTCTACATTTCCTTCTCTCTGTACCCTTTTTCTTCCTATGTACCTAACCCTCATTCTTTTTCTCTGCGGGTCTCATTCATTCCAATCTCCTCATTCATCAATTCTTCCCTTATCTTTCATTTCCTTTCAATCCTTTTCTTTTATTTTCGTCTCCTCTTACTGTATTCAAAATATCTGTCGAGTCGTTATAAAATTTGTAATCTTGAAAATTTGCAGGAAAAACAAAGACGGTGTAGAAGTGATGGATGGTTTCTACTTCATGATCGACTACCGCAACATGAATTCATTTTTGCATGTGCAGGAGTTCATGCGTATGCGGTCAGTTTTGCTTTTATTTTGAGATTTTGCAGAAAATTAACAGCTCAATAAATATGAAATTTGTTGAATAATGAAATTCATTTATTTCAAAAATATTATGGACTAAAAGAAGAACACACGTCATAATTTCGCACTTTTTTTGCGCTACCGTAATGAAAGTCTTATTTTACAATTCAGATAGTTTTAATGGAATGATTTACTACTATTTTTAGCAATTATTTTGTTTTTTAGGCGTGATCTCCTTGCCAGCTACCCGTCCTTCCACGTGCTTTCCCATCATCCGTTCGAAAAAGTGCCAACAGAAAGTGCTGCCAGTGCTCCGAAGAACTTCCTCCAGACTGCTGGTACTAATTGGAACATTATTAAAAATTACTCAGTTGACAAAAAGGTACGGTAGCGACCTCGGGATTACGATATCGAGACCTCGGTGGGCACTGTCATTAAGTACCCGCACTAGTCTCGTACCGCGATGTGGAGAAACTAACCTGGGTATCCGATTTAGCACGTGATATTCGGATATAACTGTACTTGTGAATTCTCCATAATTTTTTCTACTAAACTTATAAACCTCGACTGATTCTCTGATTTCAGTGTCAGCAGTGATCTTGATGTCCATACTGGTGCTCCTCTTCGTGATGAATTGGGAAGCGATCATCTCTGTGGTTGTGTCGATTTGCCTAGGTACATTGTTGAATCGATACCGTTTCACTTTTTAACACTAATTAGTCAATAATCAATAGCACATAGGTTCGACGTTCGATGAATCTTGGCATAGTCAATAATCGATTCCTGATCTTGTGCTTTTTAGGCATCGTCGCGTATCTACACTTGTGGGGAGTCTGTCTGGATGCTGTGTCATTGATCAGTATTCTGATGTCAGTTGGATTCTCAGTTGACTACTCAGCCCATGTCTGTTACCACTACTTCGCTCACGCTGCTGAGGACGATCACCATAAGGTACGGTCGTGCTCGATCGATATATCGATTCTTTTTGCGAAGTCTAGCACACTGTAATTAGTGGTGTTTGCTTCATATGCGCTTCCGCTGGATTCAAATGCATATTTTTTGCAGGACGAAGCGGATTCGGTCGAATCTGGTAGCAGCGGCAGTAGTCAATCAATCAATAAACCGTTGAGAAAATCAGCAAAAGATCGATCGTCGAAGCGATTGCTTGCCACATTCCATGGAGTCGGTTGGCCTGTGGTGCAGAGTGGCTTGAGCACGATAATCGGTAAATTTTGGAAAATTTTATAATAACGCATTAATAAATTCAGTCCCATTGGGACTGTAACGACAAAACGCGCGAATTACTATAAAACTGAGAGGTTAACGACTATAGTGACTATTAAAGGAAGGCGAGGCAATTCAAAGACTGTCACGCCTGCTCACAGATACACCCCTTTCTTAATCGCTAAGCATACCGCTGGTGAGTACCTATGGAACGGCCACCGAAAAATTCCATGGCACTCTAGTGACTTTGGTGAGGTCGCGATGTTAGGATAAGACACTTTCGTTCCTAAGACATTGATCTCGGACGGAACTTTTGGACAGATACGGCAAATCGCAACTGTCAAAGTTAAAAACATGTGAAGATATCCGCCGGAGCGGTATACGTACCTATTGGAGACTTCCTTATCGCATAGTCGCGACTTATCTGGTTGTCAAAGCGTAGGAAAAATGCAGATTTTGGCCAGGACTGCTAGCGAACACTCCTAATGTGGCTCCAGCGACCCTTTTGAGGCGAAATTCCGTGAGACAAATGATGATGTGGTCTGACTGTGTTCGCTTCGGTTGTTACTGGCAGAGTCGTAGACACATTGTACCCTTAATGCGAGACTTCTGAGACACCGCGACATATGTACTTGTGTGTGGTGCACGAACTTACTGAACCATTTATTCAAAAGCGGCTCAAATCCCATTGAAGAGTTCTGTTGAAGTATCGTTTTTAGGTTTCTCTAAGTCTTATATCTTAAAACTTCAAATTTTTGGCCAGTTTCCATAGGCTGTGAAAATAGCGTAAACAAATAAAATCAGCGGTAAATAATCGGTGGTAATCAACTGAAAAAAACAAGTAAATAAATAAAGCAATTGCAGGTATGTTGCCGTTGATGTTCGTGCGAGCATATGTGGTGGCTGTGTTCTGGAAAACGGTGCTACTAGTAGGAATACTTGGCATGTTCCATGCACTTGCTTTTGTTACCGGTAATTTTCCTTCTGACGGAAGATGTCAAAAGGTTTTTCAAGATTAGGTAGCCGTTGCAATCGGCTTAGTATTGGACTATGACCTTTTCTTATCAATATTATGGGTATGCCATTGCTTTTGAGACGTTCGTAGTCTCCTTGTTTTCGTTTTGTTGATGTATTTGTTCATAGATAGCAATGTACTTTTCTTTTCGCGGAAAATTCTTTGCTCAGCTTGCCTTCTCCCTTGTGAAGATAATGCTTTCTGTGATCACTGACAAGAGAATATTCTTGCCCAAATGTTTGGTGATTTTCTTGGATTCAAATTTGAGTGGATTACTGATGCGGTGATTGGAATCTGGTCCGGAATCCGACAATTTTATCCACAGCTGAAAATAAAAAGAATGAGCTATAGACCTTTTTTTCACAGTGATCTCTCCCCAGCAGTGGATAAATTTGTTGGTAATTCAAAATAGATACTGATTTCTTATTCTCTAGTCTTCCTTCATTTCTGTCCAATGTGATCAACATTTCACTTGAATAGCTTCTCTTTTCATGTAAATATGTTTCCATCAAACTGCATAGTAGTTTTTCTTGTGTAAATAAAAGTTATGAATCTGATTTTGTGTAATCTTTTTGAAAGAACCCACCGGTTCTTGCAGTAGGCGCACATTTGGGATTCAAAAATTAAAGGCATGCCCCAGGATCACATTGGTGTGGCTCTTGCACACGAATGCGAATGTATTGGTGCGAAATGGGCCGGCAGTAAAGAAAAAAGGAAAAGAATCCGTCGAAAACGCTAGGTTAAGGGCTCACTCACCTTCCTAATCGGCTGTGCTAAGGGAATGAGAGACTAAGCGCGGAGAGGAGAGTATGAGGCGAGAGAGCGCTACAGATGAGAGAGGCCAGACGCTGATGAGAGAACTCTCCAACAGCCTGATAGAAAAAAAAGTTTGCAGCTTCAGCAGCTTACTTTGCAAGGCCCAAGCGCTCTTGTCGGTTGGTTTCCGTGCACGGGAACGCCACATTTGTGATTGTCCTCTAGGGGTCTATACTGCAAACCGAAGAGAAGCGTTCACACGACTTCTGCCTGGGCTGTGCTTTTAAATAGAAGCAACTCTTGGGTACACGCTCCTTAAGGTGCTCTGGGAGCTTCGAAATATTGCGATCTGACCTCATGGAAACGCTTGTCTGTCTGCCTACTGCTTGTTCAAGTTTTATCGTATTTCTTTCTTTTCTGCTCATATCCTCCAAAATTGCTGGCCGCTCTTGGAAGGCGAACCTTCAAACGCTTTCACAAATTCGATGGAAGTTCAGGTGTCGCGCACATTCTTCGAGATTGAGCCGATGCCAACCCAAACAGGCTAGGTGGTAGCGTTCTATATGAACCAGCTGTCCTCGGACGGGGTGCGTGCGTTTCTCACTCCTCGGGGTCAAGGTCACCTAAACTGAGACGCGTTCAGTTTCGCTCCGTAGCAAGTTTAGGACTAAGAATGGGGCAAACCATGGGCTTAGGCATAAGCCAAGTAAGCATAAACCTTAACCTAAGTCCAAATCCAAACTTAACCTTAAGCTCCAGTGATCGCGCAGCTGTGGAGACCTGACCCAGGGGAGAAACGCACGTCCCCTGCTGTCCACCTATTGAACGGAATGATAACGTGAAGAAGATACAAAATTAAGTCTCACCATGAAATGTTCATTTTGAGGATACCATGAAACAGGAAATCTAGTTACATCGATGGTCTTGGACGGTGGTTACGCATATAGACACTAAAAATGCTACACGAATTTTGTAACGAAGTTGTGAGCCTTAAAGTTGCAAAAGAACGCTAATGATGGGATGCAATCCATGTGGCAACACGGTTGCTTTTGCCTGGAACTTGCTCTATAAAGGTGAATGGGTGCCCTGATTACGAATATCGGACTCGTTTTTGGCGCAGAGCCACGGCGACTGTGATTCCACCAGGTAAGCTGGCCTCAGTAACGTTTTTTGCCAACTTTGAAGGCTCATAACTTTCTTAGAAAGTTCACGTAGCAGTTTTAGTGTCCATGCATGTAATCAGCGTTCAAGACTCTATGGAAATATTCAGGTTCCTTTTCCATGGGAAGTTCAATGCATTTTCTGGTTAGAGATTTTGTGACTACCAGTCACAGTTTCCTCTCAGATTCAGAGTAGCTTTTCAAGATCAGGTCATTTATCAGGGCTTGATGTTTCGCGCTGGTCTTCGCCCTCGCCTAACCTACAAAAGTCCAAAACAAATGGTGTCTCCGACCTTTGCGGGGCTTTACCTACAGGGAGATTAGAGGTCGATGGTTGAAAATCCGGAAGAGTGGAGTGGTGTTCACTTATACATAGAATAGGCCAAGTCCTTCAAGAACGGTTACTGGGGACGGTTACCTGATCTTGAACGGCTTCAATCAGGTAGTCATTTGATCAGATTATGCTAAGATCAAAAAAGGTCGATGCCGAGCGAATCAGAGTAGTTTTCGAATAGAGCCCATTTGTGATTTGCGGAAGTCGGCCAATGTGCAATCCTGAGCTCTTTCCTTTATGACCAGGCTGGTGCTAAAAACACCTCCAGCTGGATGAATACCTTCGATGGCCTGTGCGAGATTCAATCGAGGATTCGATTTTAGAGCTGTGTGCGTGGTACGTGGCGCGAACAGCCCTAATACTTGCACTACCTTATCTCCGCTCTCGATGATGAATGAGATGGGTTTAGGAATTATTCCATCACATTATTCAAACAGGATGATGTATTTTTTGTCTGAGTAATTGCAATTCGGCAGGATCTGTACTTCGGTGTGAACCGTGAGGGTAATCAAGTATAATCCTTCTAAACCTGCAATGCTGGCCTCTGAATCCGGATTTGTGATTACGTTACGTAGATTTACGGCTCATTAGGTTTCGTTTCACCTTAATGTGTCGAGTTTTCACAGCATCGCGCAGAAGAAAAGTGAACACAAAAGCGGTAATGTGACGAGAGTCGGCAATCATCATGTCGTAAGTGCTTCTAGAGAGAAGGGATCCGTAGGCGCAAGACCTGGCGAATATGGAGGATGGGGTAAAACCGCAGATCCAAGTTCCGCCAATGTGTCCTGGGTTACCCTTGCAACATGGGGTCACGCGTTGTCATGAAGAAGAAAAACTTCGTCCATCTCAGGGCGAAGTTTCGCGAACTTCAACTGCGAGCCTTCGTGGTTGTGAGCAGTACACCTCGGCGTCGACGATGGTATTGTCTGGCATCTCGTAATGACGTGTTCCCCGAACTCTCCACCAAACTGACAGAGGAACTTTCTTGGGATGAACCTCCTGCTTTGGAACAGGCTCTGGCTTCTGGTTCGCACCCATTCACTGTCTTCTTCTGGTATGACATAGGTAGAGCCCCCACCTTTCATCTCCAGTAATTACATTATCCAACCAGTCGAAACGGCGACTCCTTGCAAGAAAACCTCCGCACACCCCGATACCTCTTTTCTTGCAATGCTCTGTCAGCTCATGAGGGATCAATCGACCAAGTTTCTCAACTTTTTCCAGCATGTGATGAACACGACCTGTGGCCATGTTGAAGCAGTGCATCTCCTTTGCCAGCTCCATGGCGCTTGCATGCGGAAAGTCTTGAAAGTAACAGCTCCAAACGTTCGAAATTAACTTTCGTTGGGCGTCCATCTTCGAGGTTGTAGTTTCCTTCGCGGAGCCTTCTGAACCAAAGTTGGCAGGTTTTTTCACTTACCACTCCCCCTACTTCCACAGAGCATATTTTGCGGCAGGCTTCGCTCGCTGTGTGTCCCATACAAAATTCGCAAAGAAGTCAGTGGCGTACATGGGTAGAAACTTATGGCATTTTCCAGGCTCCAAAAGGCCTGCAGGAGGTGAGACTCGGAAATATGAAGGGATGTTACCATTCCTGTATATGGTTAAAAAATTTCCCCTCCAGGTTAATGCGCAGCCGTTTGTCAGGACTTTGAAGAAATGCGCCAGGACTTTCGTTGCGACCTAATATAAATGTTCTTGAAGAGCCCAACCCAAAGAGTTAATAGAGCACTCATTCAGGCTGACACGAAAATAGGTGGAATTCACTTTCTCAAACAACATCCGTATTCCAGAACATGTGACTCCAAATTTCAGTCGTCGTCGTCAATTGTGGTGTGTGTTCTGCACTTGAGCGCTTCAGCTTTTCAGAAGCAGAGGGTAACACTGGCAGCATTGGTGCGTCGCGGATTCCGTGTGACCGTAATAAGGGGGTCGTGTCAAGACCTTTGAAAGCGGTCGTGAAATTGTTGAAATCTGCCACATGTACGTGACGGCTGCCTTGATGAAAAATACCCGGAGGCAGTAATCTCTGCTATGTTATTTTTCGTACAGCAACCTCTTGCGTGACTTGTGCGAGGTTTCGTGCAAAATCGTTCACCCGTTCAAGTGAAATAACTTTTTCTTAGGGTAAGTGATTGCAGGTGGCAATAATGTGCAGTTCAATTTGTCATTGAATTGTTCTTCACAGAATAATCAAACCAGAAGAATCTCGTGGTGAGAGTGAAGGCATACAGAATGCCTTCTCATGGTTAGGTGCAGAGGAAACAGGACCGAGGTGAAAGTCTTTAAGGTGGAGTGGTTCAACGACAGCAAGTAGCAGTACTATAGAAACTTCAGTAGCGCGATAATATATGGGGGGGGGTGCAAAAAAAGAGCCAATCTCCTTCCACAAACGGAGTCAATTACACTTTGATCGAACAGAATGCTCCCAACTGAACATGGAAGAGCGCATTTCAATCTATTGAAAGGTTCACAACAGCCTCTGCACTGAAGACTCCAGAACAAATTTTTACGGCAAAATATTGCACGCTTGGAACTCCAGGAAGCCATCGGCGGGATAGTAGACTATTGAGACGATATCTGATGCGAAGTAGTCTTGCATAACAAGGCAGCAGTTTCTAGAAAGCCCACAGTATTCAAATTGAAGAAATTTCATGCAGCAGCAAGAATGGGGCTCTCTACGACCAACTCCCTTGAACTCCACGGCAGTGGCAGATGGCGTCATATTCTGAAGGCAGTGAGAGCATTTGATGCCTACATCTGCTTATGGAGGGACATCTAAGCAAGGAACATTGTGCCATAATTTTTCATCAATGGCCGTTGCTGTGCGAAGAAGAGCTCCTCCCTCCTTCGGTATGTTTGCTTCTATTTAGCACCATAACCCTAAGGGCCACCAGGGATTTGGCTGAGTCTTGACAAATTGCGACAAGTTGAAATCTTTCCTGTGAGAAGCTCAGAAATGAATGTCTTTCCGTCCTTGATCTCCAATCATCTTTTTGTATAGCTTTATGTGGTTAAAACCTGCTAGTTTATTTGATTATGTGCTCCGAAGAATGTTCCAGCAGAAACTAGAATATTCAATATTTATAAATAGAACAATTATGGAAACGGTATTATGGTCAGAGATCGCCGTTGTTCTCGGGAGCTTTTACTGTCGTCAATTCGAAGAAGATCATTGTTGCTGAGTCTATTACTGGGATTGTTCGGAGAACTCAGCCTAAATTACCGTACCTTTTGAAAATCGAATTATTTAAAAAATTCAATAAAACCACGTTACTTAAAAAACCGCATAAATGAGAAAAAGGGAGACGGTAAAGAGGAACGAAACCCTGATGTACCTTCGTTTCGTGGAGTAATCTTGACTAGATCGGCGTTGTCGTGCCCGAAAAATGCTTCGACTTCGACCGTTCAACGTTGGCGATGTATTGACGGGAGTTACAGGGCAGGCTGGAAACAAATGAAAAATTCAGATTGAAAGTTGGAAAATCTTTAGGAGGGCTCCGAAAAGTATATTTTTTTTCGAAAGTTCTATATCAATTAGTATTGAACACTTAGGTCGCATTCTAATGCTTATCTACACTGGTGTGCAAAACTTAAGGACCGAAGTAACTTTCACATGATATCTCACTGCTAGTTAACCTAGGTGGACCAAATTTGGCACATATATAGAAGTAAATGTTGCGGTACAGTGCAGAGAGTTACTAACAGAAAAGCGCAAAGGGGCGATTGGAAAAGACATTTTTCTGCAAATACCCTGTCTGAAGCGGTCGATAGGTGAGGCTTCTCCAACTCATGGTAGACATTCAAAAGAGAGGAGCTAGTTCTTGATGGGGTGTATGAACACTACGGACTGCAAGGTATGCTCTGCTACGTGTTCCCATACAGGCCGTAAGATTAGTTAAGAGTTCTTGAGGAGAAGTGACCGATTCCTTGGAGACCGCGATTGACAACTGCAGGACTATTGTTGGCACATGGTCATGTGCTACAATAGCTCATCTGAATCCACGCCACACGTGCTCCATAGAATTAGACTGGAGGAAATAAATGGCTTCACCAATTACCGAAAATCCTCACTTTTCAAGAGTTTTCCACCCAGGCTGCTCGATACTCTCGCACACTGCCCTCCATACGATTGAAGCTGAGGGCAAGGGAACCCTTGGAAAGATGCACATGACAGAAGGGTACAACACCACAATCACGTTGATCAGAAAGTGTAACGCGATCATGAGTTGGGGATCAGTACGCCCCGACAACTTTATGCCTCCCCACATCATGTCGCATGCCACTCAAATGTTACGAGGTCTGGTAGTTACACCTTCTATTTTCCCCATATGCAGGTAAGTCCAGAATCACTATCTCACATTCAGTTTGCTCTTGACCGGGAAGAATACGCGATTTTTCAATTCGGTGGTCCATCTCCAATGTCTCGGCTCGTACCAAATGTCCCAGCCGAGGCGTGGATTTCAAATGAATACAGGTATTGTTGATCGATGAGAGAGATCACTCCTAGGCGGTCACTGCGCCACTGTCCGGACTGGGATTACATGCCTTACAATCCTGATAAATGTTTTTGCAACTGCAGCATGTGACTGACGTGGGTCCATTTTTGCCTGTAGCAAAACCTAGCAATCACCTGCTGCTGCGGTTGTTCGTGACCCACAACCTCCTCTTCTTGGGACAGCAGTGGCTGCGGTCCACATTGCTTCTCATGCACAAAAAACAATGCTGTGGTTGACAAAATCGTGGAACACTCCTTTTTTCAGTTTCCCAATGATTCTTCCTCGCGTAGAGTCACCCTGTTGTTGTCTCTGAGACTTGATGTAATCAAGAACACCACTACACTCCAGTCACTTCTCCCTGCTCAGTTCACTCCTCTTGTCCTGCCCCACGATACCCATCGTCTGGGTGGCCACCCCATTTAGGCTCCAGATTGAAGCCGGATGCAAGACATATGAGGCCCACTTCGGTGCCCATGACTGTAGGGCTTCTAGCATTATGCCCGTACAGTTTCATCCAATTCCATCTAATTGTTAATAAGTTAGGACAATTTATCTATCTGGTCCTTAAGTTTTGCACACCAGTGTATTTCGCTCTTTCGAGATGAAATCCGGAATGAAGAGTTACAGCTACGGACGCCAATCACGAATGTCCTTTATTACGGAATTGATGCGAATGGGCGGAGGGACTCTGCTGACGTCGCACCGATAGGGCATGAATTTAGTTTGTCGGTTAACGTTCAGAGTTAAACGGTTGGTAAGTCACTTCTCACGCTACGATGAACGTCATCCAAAACAGTATCGCTCCCCATTAACTCTGAGTTAACACGAAACCATCAACGAGGGAGCCGAATCTTGGATTCTTGCATTTTTGGCTGAGTAAATATCCATAAGTAAATGCCTTTTAGAGTCAGTATTATTATTATTTGAATTCTAGTAATAATCACTTAATAGTTCATGGGTGATGATAAGCAGACGGCAGACCTACGCAGGTGGATACATAAGGCGTTCCGAAGAGTATTGGCCAAAGAATAACCATGCATTGTATTTATGCAACTCTGAAAGCTCAATAACATCGGGTAACAAAAGTATAGGTTTTTTATAGTATTGGGGCGTTGATCAATCCCTTTGTGGAGGAGCTCGAATTCAGGAGACTTCGGTTGCAGGAGCAGTGTGAAGGTGAGTCGATTTACTAACATATGGACAATTTCACGAAGGTAGCTGATGTACAGGCAGTTTTCCATCCTCAAGGATGACTGTGCCAATTAAGTGATTATTGAGGGAGATTTGGCTGAGATGGGCAGGACTCGATCAAAGATCTTGTGCGAGGTAAATGGCTCCACCTGCCACTACACCACTTCTGCTCTCACTGAGTATTTTAAAGGGACGGTTTATTTGTGCTGTTGCGATTAGTACTTTTTCGAAAGCACTCTATTTTCTTCATGTGTAAACTTCTACAACACTTGAACGGGTACTTGGAGACTATGCACCGATATACAATACGAGGGAGGGGGGGTAGAAGGAGTTGTAAATCTCTCACACTAAACAGCTTGAACTGAATTAACTTGTCAGTCACGAGAGTTAATTTTATTCGGCAAGTTTGCGATTTTCCCATAAAAACTGCAGGTCGGCAGTGTCCTTGGATTTAATGGATAAAACTCCAAGCGAAGGCTGTTCAACGTTTGCTTAGTGTGCCGATGGAGCGCCCGCTGGAATCGTTTTCCTTTTGAAGAGACGCTATGAATTGGGGACTGAATTTCTACAGGGCGGTTTATTTTCCGATCATTGGAATGTGACTTCCCTAAAGCTGCGTGGCTGTTGCATTTCGAACAAAGTATGGCCAAACGTTGAGATCGGGAGAAGGATACGTCTGTAGTATGCACAGGGCGAAGGATGGAAGACACTTAGGAAAATCTGCTATATGAACGCTGAATTTCGAAGCTCATTCACTCAGAGGATTATCACCTTTTGGAATGACTTGCCACCCTCTGTCGTAAATTCGAGCTCTCCCAGCTCGTTCAGGAAAAAAGTTAGAAAAATCATGATTTCCAAAGGTTGGTTCTGAGGACATGAAACTAAACACTCCTAATCTGTTAAGGCACAGAAGCGATCTTATTCTATCCAGTTATTAAATGCACTGCATTCTTTGTATTTTTATAGTTTTTCATGTTACTGTTTGTTTCTATACACTTTTGTTTGACTTCATTGCTTACATTAAGCTGAATTAGTTGATTTTTCCCTACCCTCACTGGACCTTCTGCTACAGAGCGGATTCCGGCAAGGTTGGCGGACCTACTGAGTTGGTATCCGGAGCTCACTCATGGCATGGCATGAGCTTGCAGTGTTGGCGGCATGCTTCGGCGCTGAGACGTTCGCCTTGTTTAGCAGTACCATTTTATTGGTGCCAGTTCGTCGTAGTGTAATTTTTCGAGATAGGTTTCTAATCAATGTATGTTTTGTTTCCTGAAATTATTGGTTCGTGAGAAATTTAAATATAAAAGTCATATGTATGAAAGTCCATCCGTAAAAATTTCTGCTGCACAAGTCTTTTATCTCAGAGAGTGCTTTAAGTTGAGCGGATTGTTGAGAGATAGCCAGGCAGCTAAATATCATCGTTGGCCTTGTGACAGGGCTTAACCGCGTCGAACGTTCGACGGACAGGGTCGATTTGGTTCTGGAGGAGGAGGGTCGCTGCGCAGTTTTGCTGTTACGGTTGAGGGAGCGTTTCTAATTGAGGGCGAGGAGCGTAGTGTTGCGTGCGAAAAAAGTTGCCGTTCCCCACCCCCGTCGGCGGCTGTTTTTGGGGAAAAAGTGGGTGGAGTTTCGGAGTTTTAGGTAGGTTTTGGGCTGTGTTAACTGGTCTCAGAATCAAATACTATAGAAGAAGAGGAAGAGAGTCGCGGTTGGGGAAGGCTGGTTGTATTGGAGGGGTCGGCGAAAACACCCAAAATGCTCGAAACTGCACGGTTCCCTGCTTGTGACTTAGTCGGTCAGTAGTACATTCGAATATTCCCTACGATTTATTAAGGGACATACTAACGGCAAACCTTAGAATGGCAGTGCCTGAGCCCAAAGGATCATCTTTTAGTTAACTCTCCTATTTGCTCTTAAGGGTATAATATATCGTTCATCAATAATTTAAACACATGATCGAGAACTGGACTGCGAAAAGTACGGGGGGGGAGGCTAAAAAATAGACATTTTGTCTCCAGGCTTCAAATGGAAGTTAATCCCTACTTTGTCTCAGGCAGGTAAGTGCTCCAACTTTAAAACTGAAGGGCGCATTTCAATTAGGGAAGAAATCGTCATAGTGGCCCAGACGGCATCAGGAAATTTTGCCCCGGAAACGTGGTGCTCTGGTTGAGTTCAGTGGGGTTATCGACTTATCGTGTACCGTTACGACGGGTTCCGAAAGGCGGGTTCCGAGGGGGGTTGCATAGTCTTTAGAGCTAATGTGTCCCTAGGAAACTATCCCACGTTGAATCGATCCAAGAAATTATGTAAGAGCTTCAGGCTGAAGCAGTTACTGTAGGCCTCCCTGAGCTCGACGACGGTGACAGATGACGTCATATTCTGAAGACGGTGAGGGTAGTGAAGGAGGGCCTGCGTGTACTTATAGAGGGACATTTAGGGAATATTTTGCTGACGGCAATCTCTGCGAAGAAAAAAAGGCCGAAGTGCGACCTGGGCAAAATGTCTTTTTTTCTGCCCCCTGTATATTTTCAACTAAAAGATGCAAAACCTACCGATTACTGGCGACAAATTGGGCTCCAAAAATTGCGATGTTGATCTACTTCGTCCAGAGCGCAATGATGCCATTGAGATAATACTACTGAAATGAATCGGTGATTTCAGGATTTTCAGAGGTGTTTCAGATTTTTCCTTTTCATTTATATATCACACACGTCGACCTCATTTCATTAATTTGAACTAAACTGAGCGCAGACTGAAAAATGTCAGCCTCAAAGCCACGAGAAGCTAGTTAATTCTATTGAATCAGCTGTTTCGCCTGTGAGAACAAACTCACTAAATAATTGTTGAACAGCAGTTTGGGGCTCTAAAAATTTCTTTTTATTATTGTTAAAATAAATTTGTGGCGCCGTAAACTGTTGTTTACAGTTTGGATCCCTATGAGGCTTCGGGGCAGCGCCATGCTAACCATAAGGTCACTAAATAACTGCCTAATCAGTCAATAATGAACCTAAATGTCCAGCCCATCTTGTAATGAACTAGATATTGGTCCATCATCAGATGAAACCCCTAAAGGAAGTAGAAATTGTAAAGGTGGTTGGAATGAGCTTGTGGGTGGTAGATACTAGCTCAACCGAAATACTTCAAAATGTCTTTTCATTATGAAAAGCATCAAGGCATTAACGTGAACCTCCAATAAAAACTACAGCTCTGGTAGATGGCTTCGCTTTAAAGTACTTATGTGACAACTTACTTAGTTATGCTGAGTCTCATTGGAGTTTTCTGCGATGCACATCCTTCGTAGCCGCGTTTCATCGCTTCAACAATTGTGTTCATCAGTTGACGCCATGAATTTATCAATTCATCTTCTTCACTTCGGTCAGCATGAACTCGAACTCGAAAAATCCGCCGAATTCTGAAGAGGAATAGATCTATTTCTGGCATCTTTCTTTTTGTTTCAGTTGCTTCCATCTTCATCTAAAGTGTGTGGGTCATGAGATTCCAATTGCAGCGGCGCGTTGAAACTAGGTCATCGCGCGAGCGTGACGACCGATTTTTGTCCCTTGCAGGTAATGCAGATGTCGAGCTCAGCCCCTCGCAACGCTGCAACTGCAATCCCCTTATCAACTTAATTATTTAGTTAGCTTAGTTTCGGATGTGTCATACAGACTTTTCGTTTGGAGGCACGCCCACGACCAAACTGGTGTGGCTCTTGCAAAAGAAAATGAAAGCACCGATGCGAAAAGGGCAAGGGTATAAAAAAGGAAATAAACCTGTCGTGAACGATAAAGCTCAGCTATTGCTCAGTCTTGTGCTGATGCAGAGAAAGACTGCACGGGGAGAGGGGATAGGTGGAGATCACAACGGATGAGGGAGGGTAGACACTAACATGGCAGGCAGGCGAGAAGGAATGGCAGGCGGTAAAGAGGCTATCATCCTAATGCTCCTTGTTGCGCTTTGGAGCCGAAGGACGGGATATATGTGTGTAGCTTCTGGTGGACAGCTCTTTCTAGCAGATTCGTTGACAAGCGTTGCCTGGGTAAAGTAAACTTTTCCATGGTTTTAAGCATAGTGCCGGCGAACCTATCAATTTGCCCATATTATGGTTCAACAATAGCAGTGCAGTTCTTTGGTAGGAGCTGTCAGTGAACGAAACCGCTTGGAGCTTCACCAATTCTGAAAGTTACCTCCCAGGTTGCAGTGCTGGAATCGGCGCTGGAATCCTCGGATCTACGCGTCTGGGCCACTGGCGCTTCCGACTGCAGTTTACGTGAGGAACCCACTTCTGATTACCACCAACAAAGTAGTCGGGTCAAACAAGAGACAGACGTAAATCAAAATGTTCATGCAAAATCTGAAGGCCTCTGACGGCGGTTGTCACCAATGTCACGAAACCTCCTTTTCCATATTTCTCGCCTTTTTGAGAAGATATTGAGGAACAGCTATTGTGTTCTGAAAACTTCGAAAAAGCTGCGTCAGTTCCCGAGCATTGCTCCGGAGACTGTTTCCAAACAGCTCCAGAAGACACTCGTCATTCAGAGGAACAAGCCAAAAGAATTTGTGCATTTTCTCGAGTTTCTAAACTTCGGCAACCAAATAATTACCATGTTGTGAACTGAACGACCATGGTTCCTGCGCGCAAATGGCCACTTCGCTACTACTGCAAAAGGGGGTTTCTCGACCTTGTCGACGATTTCATCGCGTTTTCAGTAACTTTCAAGCGCTAGAGCTCACCGATTCCCCCCAGGATCACATCTCTAGTATCACTCTCAAGATTAGAGACTACCAATCCCTTCCCGGACTTTTACGCTAGAGTGTTCAGTGCGTTTAATGGACTTTAACTGCATGTTCACTCCCCCCTTGGGCGGAGCCCACATCTGAGGCTTATGAGGAACCCACTTGCACATGATCATTTGTGTCCTCTCCACAACGGTCTCAAACCAAAAGACAAGCATTAGAGGGAGTATGAGGTCCTACAAGTCGTGGAGAGTACAAATAGAAGGAAATGCCGTGTTCGCTAAGGTACTGAAGATCCGCTGGTTCAGACT